GCCCAATTTACCCAAATTGAGGTGTGATTGGAGGATTTGGAATCTGAAAAGTTGACTGAAAATTGATGTTTTAGACATTTTAAAACTGAAAATTCGAATTTTTCAATGTCTAATTACTGTAATTTATCCTAATTGGGATCAATTTTGCTGAAATTTGACCTAAAATCTTCTTTTTAAAAATTCAAAAAAAAACATCGATTTTTGCTATTTTTCAACTGAAAATTCGGATTTTTCAATGCCTAATTACTGCAACTGACCCTAATTAGCAGTAATTAAAATTAGAAATAGTACACCGCAGGTCGCAGTTTTATAATTCCGTTCAATACAGTAGTTTCTAGGATCCTTCGGTAGGATTACAGTAGGTTCTAGAATCCTCAGAATAATTTAGTTTCTAGGATCCTGGGAATACTGTAGTTTCTGGGATCCTGGGATTACTGTAGTTTCTAGGATCCTTCGTGAGGATTGCCGTAGCTTACTGTAGTTTCTAGGATCCTGGATCCCAAATCCTCTGGTTCAAGGCTAGATCCTAGACTCACCAGGTACAGTATCCCTCTCCAACGACACATTCGCATCAACTCTCAAGTGTCCCTTATGCAGCTCTCCATTCGATAAGTTATGATGAATAATCAATAATCTAAGGGTTTGAACGAATCGAATCGCTTCAATCGCCGTCTCGAAGCATGGAGACGTCACGATTTCAATCAAGGCGCATCCAGCGCGATTATAGTCAATTAGAGATTTGGGACCTTCTCCTCCTTCTGAAGACGTTGACGGTAGATGAATCGTCTTCCCGGAATCTTGTTCCAATTGCAATTGAAGGATTTTCACCTGGAAAAATGGGACTAATTAGAAAATAAAATGGGCGGAGTCAGTGGGCGGAGCCTAAACTAGGCTATTTTCCGGGGAAGTTTTCCGGAGAACATTTTGTAATTTAGGCTCCGCCCCTTTTGAGAAGCTTCTTCTGAATGCGCCACGTCATCAGCAAGCTATGGCTGACGACGTGTCATTTTGGCCTAGAAAACCCAATCTACTACAGTACCTCTTTCCAATAAGGCACATCCAGATGCTCATCGAAAACCCAAAAACCGAAATTTCCATTTTTGGCAATAGGATGGTGATTCTGAGTGATCTGATAGCCAGCCGGCATATCCCCATAGAAGTAGTGTTTCCGGTCGAATCTCGACCATTCTGACACGTGGCAATTCAGAAGACGTGCCATTTTCAATGCACGATAAATACATTGAGAGTTTAGGGATGGAAGAGTTCCCGGGGTGGCCATATCGAATGGTAGAACCCGTCGATTCGGGGAGGAGTCGGTGGTGGGGCATCGCGAGAATAGCTTCGTTTTGGTGTTCAGCTGCACGTGCACCTGGAATTGATGGGGGGCGATTTTTTATGGAATTTGGCTGAAAATAGCTTGAAATTGGCACGAAAAGCGGTCTGAAAATCGCTTCAAATTGGCCCTGAACTGACATTTAAAAAGCTCAAAAAAGGTCTGGAATTTGTTGAAGGAATGGAAATTCAAATTTTTAGCAATTTCTGAAAATTCGGAACAATCAGAGGCGAAATTCGAATTAATTTTTCTGGATTTTTCTAGAATTCGGCTGAAAATCGAATGACCAAAATTGAGCGAAAATCGATATCAGAAAGCCAAAAAATGACTTAAAATCTCTAGCAAAACATTGAAAACTTGAAACTTTTTTAGAATTCAAAAAATCTGAACTTTTTGAAATCTCAAAATTTTTAAAAGTTTTCCTAAAAGATTTTAAAATCAAAAAATTGAAATTTTGAGAATTCCAGGGTTTTGGGAAATTATGAAAATTCAAAAAAAAAGAAACTCTAAAAATTCCTTAAATCGAAAATCTTAAAAATTCCAAATTTTGGTGAAATTGAAATTTGGAAAAAAAACCAAAAATTTTAAAAATTCAAGAAATTGGAGTTTAAAAAATCACAAAAATTTTGGAAAATCGAAGAATTTACATTTTTAGAAATACCAAAATTTTGGAATATTCAAAAAATCGGAAATTAAGGAAATTCTTAAATTTTCGAAAACTCCAAAAAATCAAAATTTGGGAATTCTCGCCTACCGAAGTCGCATTTTATAATTCTGACAATAACCCCAGAATTTTAAAATCTACAGTAATCCCAGGATCCTGGAAGCTACAGTAATCCCAGGATCCTAGAAACTACAGTAACCCCAGGATCCTAGAAACTACAGTAACCCCAGGATCCTAGAAACTACAGTAATCTAGAAACTACAGTAATCCCAGGATCCTAGAAACTACAGTAATCTCAGGATCCTGGAAACTACAGTAATCCCAGGATCCTAGAAACTACAGTAATCTCAGGATCCTGGAAACTACAGTAATCCCAGGATCCTAGAAACTACAGCAATCCCAGTATCCTAAAACCTACAGTAACCCCAGGATCCTGAAAAATACAGTAATCTAGAAACTACAGTAATCCCAGTATCCTAGAAACTACAGTAATCCCAGAATCCTAGAAACTACAGCAATCCCAGGATCCTAAAACCTACAGTAATCCCAGGATCCTAGAAACTACAGCAATCCCAGGATCCTAAAACCTACAGTAATCCCAGGATCCTAGAAACTACAGCAATCCCAGGATCCTGGAAACTACAGTAATCTAGAAACTACAGTAATCCCAGGATCCTGGAAGTTACAGTAATCCCAGGATCCTAAAACCTACAGTAATCCCAGGATCCTGGAAACTACAGTAATCTAGAAACTACCGTAATCCCAGGATCCTGGAAGCTACAGTAATCCCAGGATCCTAGAAACTACAGTAACCCCAGGATCCTAAAACCTACATTAATCCCAGGATCCTAGAAACTACAGTAATCTAGAAACTACAGTAATCCCAGGGTCCTAGAAACTACAGTAATCTACAGTAATCCGAGGATCTTAGAAACTACAGTAACTCAAAATTCTGTTCCAGGCACCCGAACGGAAATCAAGAACATGAACAGCATTCGAACCATTCACACAGCCATTAATTTCGAAATTGCGCGCCAATTTGAAATTTTGAATTCGAACGGGACAGTTCAAAAAGAGACCAGAGCCGCCGATCAGGACGGGCGGACCGTATCGATGAGGGAGAAGGATGACGTGGATACGGACTATCGATTTATGGTCGAGCCCAATTTACCCAAATTGAGGTGTGATTGGAGGATTTGGAATCTGAAAAGTTGACTGAAAATTGATGTTTTAGACATTTTAAAACTGAAAATTCGAATTTTTCAATGTCTAATTACTGTAATTTATCCTAATTGGGATCAATTTTGCTGAAATTTGACCTAAAATCTTCTTTTTAAAAATTCAAAAAAAAACATCGATTTTTGCTATTTTTCAACTGAAAATTCGGATTTTTCAATGCCTAATTACTGCAACTGACCCTAATTAGCAGTAATTAAAATTAGAAATAGGAGAAAAAAATGAGAAAAAATATGACGATTTTTGCTATTTTTAAACGGAAAATTCGGATTTCTCAATGCCCAACTACTGTAATTAACCCTAATTAGCAGTAATTGCAGCTAAAAAATTCCAGAATCAAGGAGGAATGGCTGACAATGGCAGAGGAAGAGATGAAAAACGCGGGAAAAGCGGATTTCGAATATTTGAGAGATGTGATTGGATTCGATCCGCGTAGCTCCATTCATATAGCGGTAATTTGAAAATTTTGAAAATTTTGAAAATCGATATTTCAGGAGGACCCGGATCTTCTGGCCTTTGTAAAACGATGCATTCGTCTTCGAGATTCCTCAGTGTCTGCTGAGGAGATACTGTACTGGATGAAGCAGTTGAAAACGACCATGCAGAGATCAAAGTGCAATTATCCGCCGCAGAGGTAATTAATTAGTAATTAAGTATTGATTTTTCTAATTATTGATTTTCCAGTGAATTCTTCGCTCGCCAATTCATGACACTTCTGAATCTGGTCCGCCAACGTCGTCTGACCCATCTTCGAGTCCTGGACCTCCTTCGTTACTACTCAACGACTTTTGAAGGAGATTCTTCTGAAGGAGAAGAAGAAGGCGTCACAGAATTCGTGGAGAAGCATCAATTGTGGAGAATCGAGGATACCAGAGAAATCGAGAGATTAGTGGGGGATATGATGAGGAGAAACGAGAAATTGGTGGAGAAGGCGAGGAATGGGAATTCGAAAAGTTTCAATCGACTTCGGAATCTGATCAATGAGGCAACTGAGAAACGAATCGATATCGCGGAGTTGTGTGAAGTGATGAAGCAGTTTTTGGATCAAAAATTGGTTTAATTTGGACTAGTTTTGCTTATGATTGCTTAGGATTTCTGAATAATCAATAATTATAAAAATAAATACTTTTTACATTTTTTAAAAATCTTCATTTATGTCTTTTTATGCCTTTTTGATATCATTTTTTTTTTGTTTTTTTGCTATATTTTCTCAGATTTTACTGAAATTTTCTCAGTTTTTCCATTTTTTCGAATTTAGGAAAAGAAGAATCATTTTTAGAACTAAAACTTTGAATTCTTGTCGAATTGGCTCAAATAATATCTACCGTAAACTCCTGTAATATATGAACTCTCACACTGTCAACTTTGAGCTCAATTATCTTGGTTCCTTTAAGAGATATCAAAATATGGTCAACTGATAAAATAATTATCATAATATCAGCAATATTTTATCAGTTGACACTTTTTTTTATATCTTTTACAGGAACCGAGATAACTGAGCTTAACGTTGAAAGTTATTTTTAAGTTGATATTTCAACTCCCAAGGCCACACTGTCAACTTTAAGCTCACTTATCTCGATTCCTATAAGAGATATAGTTTTTTAATGTCTTCACAGTAATTTTATCTATTGTTGTTCTGTTTGAAAAAAATCTATAAGTATCAATATATGATGTACAATTTTTCTTCTCATTTCTTCTCATTTCTTCTGAATGTCTAAAGAATTGTTTCTTTTCCAGCGTCTTCTAAAAGCATGAGTTCGCCGCCACCTTCCTCCCCGTTGCCAGGAGAACCTACAGTAAAGAAAAGAAGATACGGTCGTGTCAGCTCCATATCAGATGCCCCAGCTTCTTGTCTCCAAATCGTCAGTCCTTCTAAATCGATGGATTTGGAAATATCGGCCCCAGTCTCTTCATTGAACTCTACTACAAAGTCAGTATTTCAAGTCCAGAGCAATTCTGTTTGATTCAATTTAATTTTCAGAATCCCCTTGTCTTTCGAAGGTCTCCCGATTGATGTCTTTTAAGAACTACTGAAGTATTTGACGTTTATGGAAAAGCTAAGCCTTCGGAACACCTCGAAAACTCTTCGGAAGGGAATCGATTTCCTGAAAATCGATGTCGATTTTGTTTTTGTTGAAGTTACCGAAAGAGGAGCCGAGTTTTGGATTGATGAATTGAAATGCAATTACGAGGCAATGGACTATGGCTGTCGAGTGATCGTTGGCGACAAGTCCACCGAGCTTCCAAGGAAATATGCATGGGATCTGGCTAAACAGGATCTTCGACGTCTTCTGAACTTGACAAGTCGAATTGGAGAGATATGTTTTTTAATGGCGTACGGACACACGGAATTCTTCTTCAAGGACCTCGTCAAGACTCTCGTCAAGACCAGGAAAAAGGAAGGGGCAGGGAGCCGAAACTTTGCACTTTATTATCTTCATTCCTGAGAAAAGTGCTAAAAATTTTGAAATTATTTCAATGTGCCAGATCAAAATTTCTACATTTTTTTAGTTTACAACTTTTTCCTAGCTACCGTATTTTTTGAGATATGCGCCTTTAAAGTTGGCACACCATGGCGCTCACTACTAATGGGACCAATTCTTTAAATGCGTATATCTCAAAAACTACGGTAGCTATAGGAAAAGTGTCAATTGCAAAAATAAAACTGAAATTTCAGAAAATTCGACAAACCAAACATTTTTTCAACATAAGACGATTGAGCATCACTACGACTTGGTAGAAAAATCGCATCCAGAAAAGCTGAGCCGTCTGAAAAACGAGAGAATCGTCCTCGGATGCATTGTGGTGGTCCAGGAAGACTTAAAATTTTATGTTCATTTTGTTGGTCATTTTCAAATAAATCAATTTCCCGCTAATACAAAATTCAAAAAAAAAAGGTTAAACCTCCAAATGATGGAAGATGGCCACAGCAATCCGTCAAATCAAAATCCCTACCTACCCTCTCCTTCTTCCACACTATTTCCCCTCTGACTCTATTTTCCAGGACCCGTGGGGGCACGCGCCCTTCAGCCTATCTGCGTCTCTTCCCAGATTGCTCATCTTTCAAAATCTCTTTTTTTCGGCTCTTTTGTGTCGTCTCTATGTGTACACAATAGAGATGGTGGTGGTGGTGGTGAGGGAGACTTATCCTTTCTCTCTCTCTCTCTCTCTCTCTCTCTCTCTCTCTCTCCAGTCAGTGTCAACCCTATTGCTTTTTGATGATGATGATGATTTTATTTTTACTATTTTTAAATCGTTTATTTTTCTCTTTTGAATTTCTAGAATCTAGTGTAAAAAGAGAAATTGGAATGAAAATATTATTTAAAAAAGAAGAGGATGACTATGTTTTTCAAATTGTTTTAACTGATCAAATTTTCCAGAATCTCAAAGACTACAAAACCTAAAAATTTATAGTTTTCTTCTCAAAAAAGATCCCAACTACCTTGCAAAATATACTTAACCTTGCTTAACTTTGCAAAATATACATTTTCTGCCCCGTTCAACTTTAACCTCAATTATCTAATTCCCCGAAAAAGTTATCTAAAAACGGTCAACCTATAAAAAGTTTCTTATTAAATTTCACACATTTTTGTAGTTGACCACTTTTTGGTATCTTTCTCAGGAACCGAGATAATACGGTGCAAAATTGTGGTTCCCTGATCGCCCCGGCGGCGTCCTCTCCCCCTCCCCCTTTCTTTGGAAGGAGGGGGCGTGGCTAACTGTTTCCTTTTAACCTTAATTATCTTAGTTCCTAAGAAAGTTATCAAAAAGCTATCAACTAATAAAATGTTCCTTTTAAAATTTCACACATTTTTTTAGTTGGCTACTTTTTGGTATCTTTCTTAGGAATAGAGATAATACGGTGCAAAGGTCAGACCACCTCCCGCCAGGGGTCATGGTACATTATCCACCTTTCACCTTAATTATCCCATTAGTTAATTGAAATACTGAAAAACTGTTAATTAAGAAAACATTTCTTTTTAAATTTTGCACATTTCCTTAGTTGACCACTTTTTGTTATCTCTGTTAGAAATCGAGATAATTGAACTCAAATAGAACAAAGAAAACCAATGTTGTTTTGATTCAAAAATTAAAACTTGTTTTTTTCTCTGTCTGTCTCTCTTTCACTTTTTTTCACTTTCACTACACTACAACTTCCGAAAAGAGAGGAACATGGTTTTTCCAAAACCACCATGTGACCAACCAAATAAAAATAAACTTACCAAAAACTTTTTTTTGTCTGTCTAACCTCCAACAATATAAAATGTGTTTCATCATAACTCTCTCTCTCTCTCTCCTTTCTTTCTCTGCGTCTCTCTTCTATTTTCATTGTTTTTTCAATCTCTTTTCCTTCTTTTTCGATGAGTAATTGTTTGAATTTCGCTCCGAAACAGACACAAAAAACTGTCTTGTGTTGTGTAGTCTCCCCATTGTGCGTCAGATGGTTTCTCAGTTTTTACAAAAGAAGCGTTAGATGCTGAATTTTGGTCCGGAACTTGATTTTTTTCGGATTTTCTGGTATTCCTTGTTTTTTGGAATTTTTTAGAAAATATTGAATTTTTGGTTTTTCTGGAATTTTTGCATCTGCCAGAATTTTTGGAGTCTTGCATTTTCAAAGTTTAGATTTTAGACGATTTTTGAAATCTTTGTATTATAGGAATTTTCGCGTTTTTCGAATTTTCTAGAAATGTTGAAATTTCAAAATTTTTAAATTTCTGGTATTTTGGATTTTTTGATTTCCGACATTTTGTCGAATTTTGGACTTTTCTAGAAAAGTGGAAGTTCCCAACTTTTGAATTTTCTGAAATTTGATTTTTCTATTTTCGGAATTCTGTTGAATTTCGGATTTTTTGATTTTTTTTTTCAAATTCTGGAACTTGTGAATTTCCTGGAGTTTTGGAATTTTTCGTTTCGGGAATTTCCTAACTTTGGAATTTTCAATTTTGTAGAATTTTGGAAATGTTGGAAAAAATCTAGAATTTTGGAAGATCTGAATTTTTCAAAAATCCTGAGGGTTTTTGGAATCTTGAATTTTCTAATTTTTGGCCTTTGTTTGAATTTCAAATTTTCTGAAAATTAAGGGACTTTGGACATTTTTCAAATTTTGATTTTTGACTTTGATTTTGGAGATTTCTGACAACTCTGGAACTTCTGAATTGATTTTCAAAATCTTGAAATTTCGAAAATTTCTTAAATTGCAATGCTTCGATTTTTTTTGAATTTTCTAATTCTTCGATTCTTTGATTTTTGTTGATTTTTGGAATTTTTTAAAATTCCTTAGTTTTTGGATTTTTTGAAACTTTTTGTACTTTTGAATTCTCGACTTTTCAATTTACGCCTTCAGTGGAATTTCTCTGAATTTCTGAAGTTTTTGAATTTCCACAATCTTCCTAGAATTTTCAGACCTATTCCGAAAAAATTCCATAACTTTAAAATATGAAACAAAAAACGAAATTCTCAAGATTTGATTCTACAGTACTCTAATCTTTTGAGATTGAAAAAAATTACTAATTTCCAAATGTTTTATTCAAAAAATCTTCAAAAATCTACTTTTCTCAATCTTTCAAAATTTCCTCTTCCTCTCAAAAACTGAATTTCCAGCTCTCGCTCTCCTTCTCAATTGATATTTTCCTATCATTCTTCTCCTCATGCTCTTATCAGTAACAGCAAAAAAAACCCCATTGATATTGACACATAATTCTCCATTCTTCCAACATTCTTTCCGTTTTTTTTCCCGATTTTAATTCCTTCAAAAAAATTTTTTGTGCGGTTTGAATTATAAAAAATGACGTCTAACAATTAATCAATCAATTGGAACCGGAAAATGGGAATTCTGGAAAAGAGAATTTCCCAATTTTTTCAAAAAAAAGGACTATTCGTCATCTCCCAATGTTCTTTCTTTTGCTGTCCAAAATGTATTTTTCCATGTCATATGATAATATTGATTGATTGAAAAATGACGTTTCTCATCTTTCCGGATGAGTCATCTTTCCTTTTTTGTCCCCCCTCTTTTTCAGCCCCCATCCAATTTTTTTTATTTTGAAATTTTTTATTTTTTTTTCAGAAAAAAAATCATTGCTCACTACCGTAGTCTCACTTCTGCTGCTATTGTACAGTCGATGGATATGCTGAAATTGTTTAGTGATAAGAAGACCAAAGATAAAAAAGCCAAAAACAACAACAATCTGAATGAGAAGCGTCCGGCGTCGGCACAAAGTTCCAATGGGACAGAGGTACTGTAATTTAGAGAAAAAATTGATAGATTTTAATCTGAAAATTTAATCCTATCAACTTATTAAATTGAATTTTGCAAAAACAGGAAAGAGAAAAAATCAAGAATTATTATACTGTATTTTTGAAAGTTTTCGAAAACAGCCTTAACAGAAAATTTTAGAATATGTTAATTGAAACTAGAGCTTCATTTGTGTAGTTGGCACCTTTTTTGTAGCTACCGTAGTTTTGGAGATATACGCCTTTAAAGAATGTGCTTCTTCAAACGCGCCGCGGCCCCTTCGATGGTGCGCGCGCCCGACGCGGCTAAGTTTTTAAAGGCGCATATCTCTAGAAACAAAAAAGCTAATCAAAAGTGTTTAACTATAAAAATATAGGAAATTTAGTTTTACATCTTTTTGTTGTTTGTGCCTTTTTTGTACCTTTTTTGGTTCATGAGATATGCGCCTTTAAAGACTGGTCGCCTCACAATCAGCACCCGCCATAGGGGCGCAGAGGTGACCAGGCGTGCTAACTTTAAAAGCGCTCATCTCAAAAGCTATGGTAGCTAGAGAAAAGTTGCTTACTAGAAAAATGTAGAACATTTAATTTTGCTCATTTTTGCAGTTGACACCTTTTTGTGGCTACCGTAGTTTTTCAGCTATGTGTCTTTAAACATTGCTCATTCTCAACCGCGCCGCGGCCTCTCCAGTAGGGGGCGCCGAGGTGCCCAAATTTTTAAAGGCGCATATCTCCAAAACTACGGTAGCTAGGAAAAAATTGTGAACTGCAAAAATGAAGTTCTTTTTCTGCTGAACAAACTGCATGAATTTCAGAAAAATCGAACTGTCCTAGCTAAAATTTTGAGGGCTTTAAAAACGTATAGCTCAAAAAAAACTTGTCCAATGACATCACATAAAAATGTGCGGCGGATTCTTCAGATCTCGATCATAAAACTCTTTGTCTGCGTCTCTCTATCTCTCTCCCTAAAACCTGTCAAGAGGGTCTTGGGTCATCCCACTTAACACACAAAACTTCGAAGGAAAGCACACAAAAAAAAAACGTTCGCGCAATTTTTTTTTCATTTTTTGAATACTTTTTGGTTTCCTAGAAAGTTTGAGTTTTGTTTTGCACCCTGCACGTAGCTTTGGACCTTCTATAAAATCCCTTGGAGCTTCAAAAAAGCATGAAAATCATTGATAAAATATCTTTTGATCTTCCAGAGCTTTCTAAGCTTCTGCAAATCTCCTGATCCTTCTGAGCACCTTCTTATATTCTAAACCATCTCTCCAGAAAAAAAAAACAAACAGAAAAAAATTTCATTGCTCATATAATGGTCAAGTGTCGAACAGGGATATATCCACTTATATCTATTTCTCTCTCTCTCTCTCTATTTTCCTAAAAATATCTTCTTCTTGTTCCTATTGACCACTTGTCTCGTTTCTTCTGTTAGATAGATACAGATCTGTTCCGTTTTGCACCAACCTCTTTTTTTTGTTGTAAACTCTATCCCCGAAGTACATAGGTTAGACACCCTCTTACTGCTAAACTTAAGTACCGTTTCATACGTAGTTCCGTGGTTTAGGTTACTGCAGAGCTCCTAAAGTTCAAAGGCGCATAGCTCTCCTAGAGAATTTTTAAAATTGTAAAATGTTGTAAAATTCTATGATCTACATTTTTATAATTATCCACTTTTTTCTAGCTTTCATGGTTTTTTAATTATGCGCCTTTAAAAATAGAGTGCCTCTAGGAGCTGCGCCCGGAAGAAGGGAGTGGGCGCTTTTAGGCTCCTCGTTTTCAAAAACGCATATCTGCAAAACTACTGTAGCTATTTGAAAAATTTAAATTACAAAAATAAGTAAAATTTTATGATCTACATTTTACTAATTAGTCAAATTTTTCAAGCTCTTGTGGTTCTTGTGATATGCGCCTTTAAAGCATTAGCTCCCCTCTGCTGGTAGGTTCAGAGCTCTTCTCTTTTTGAAGGCGCATATTTCTTACAAGGGAGTTACTTGAGGGGGCGAGTTTAACTTTTTTTGAAATTTTGGGAGCAGATAGAAGAGCTTATGAAGATTCCAAATTTGTTAAAAAATCAGCAAAATGCTCACGTGAGCTGAGTTATGACCTAGAAAAGTTTCCCTATGATTAAGCAATTTCTCGTGAAATTTTTTTCACGGAATAGTGTATTTCTTTTAAAACAATAGATTTCAATTAGCAGTGTGGTAAAGTGGTAAAATGGCAAGTTCAGAGGAGGAAGGTTGTAGGTTCGATTCTCCCGATCTCAAAAATTTTGCAAAATTTCTTTTTGTTTTATTTTAAGCTGCCATAACTGGCTCTGGAATAAAATTTACGCAATTTAAACATGTTTTTCGGGAGTTTCTCGTTATAAAAAGGCATTTTCCAGAATAAAAACAGACATTTAATTTTTGAAGAAATTCACAAATATGCTCATGGGTTTATCGAAGATTTTTCAAAATTTTTTTGTTTTTTTTCATTGAAAAATTAGTTGAGGATTCTAAACACATTGGGGGCATTCGATTACAAACTGCTCAATCAATATTGCAATATCAATATTGCAATATTGCAATTCAGTATTGCTTCGAAATTAAATGTCTGTTTTTATTCTGGAAAATGCCTATTTATAACGAGAAACTCCCGAAGAACATGTTTAAATTGCGTAAATTTTATTCCAGAGCCAGTTATGGCAGCTTAAAACAAAACAAAAAAAATTTTGCAAAATTTTTGGGATCGGGAGAATCGAACCTACAACCTTCCTCCTCTGAACTTGCCATTTTACCACTTTACCACACTGCTAATTGAAATCTATTGTTTAAAAAAAAAATACACTATTCAGTGAAAAAAATTTCACGAGAAATTGCTTAATCATAGGGAAACTTTTCTAGGTCATAACTCAGCTCACGTGAGCAGTTTGCTGATCTTCATAAGCTCTTCTATCTGCTCCCAAAACCTCAAAAAAAGTTAAACCCGCTCCCTCAAGTAACTCCCTTGTTAAACTACAGTAGCTAGAACAAATGTTTTAATTGCAAAAATGTTTCGAATTTCAAGATGTAAATTATTGTATTTAATAACTTTTTCTTTTTTGAAGTATGCGCCTTTAAATATTGTACGCCTCGGCGTCCACCATCAAAGGGGCCACCGCTTGCCTTTTGGCGCGCGCCAACTTTAAAGGCGCATATCTCTTAAACTACAGTAGCTACAAAAATGTTGTCAACTGCTAAAATATGTAGAATTTCAAGATCTATATTTTTGTGAATAATGCAATTTTCTATCTTTTATGGATTTGGAGATATCCGTATTTTTATTTATCTCTACTTCTTTCTTTCCGATTGGCTTGCTTTCCTTATGTACTACTTCTCCAGATCATAAATTCCAGATATCCAAAAAATGCGCTGTAAATTCTCTCGAGGCAGAATCAAAGCTGCCGCACCGCCACGTGGCACACCAATCTATCAGTTTTTTGAGTCAGAAGATACCAACAATAATAACAATAGCAACAATAATAATAATTACAAAAAAGTCAATTTTTGAAAAAATCCTCCAAAATCAAGAACCATTTACTTTCAGAGCGAATCGGACCACCATCGTGAATATGTGAAGACGTTAGAAAATTTCATATTCTCCACTGAAAAGTTAGGAATCGATGGATTAGCGAAACAATACCGGAAACTGGACGCTCAGCTGGATTCGTCGCTGAGTTTTGACGCCTTTAAGATTAATATGCACAAAAATCGATATTCGGGTGAGTCAAAAGAGGCAGATTCGTCTGAAACTTTGAGAGTATATAGAATAGAAATAGAGCTTCATTTTTGTAGTTGACAACTTTTTTCTAGCGTTTTTGGTTTTGGAGATATGCGCCTTTAAAGTTGGCGGGCGCCCAAAGGTGCCGGTGGCAAGGGGCGCCGGCGGCGGGGGAGCACCCTACTTTTAAAGGCGCATAGCTCTAAATATAGAAGAGCTACGAATAGTGTTCAACTACAAAAATGAAGCTCAATTTTTATTCTATATTCTTCCATATTTTCAGATTAATTCGACAACTTTAAAACTTCCGAAACCAACCAAATATTTCTATTTCAGACGTTGTCTGTCGTGACAACACTCGTGTAAAGCTGACGATTGATGCTAGCAAACAAGGAGACTACATTCATGCAAATTATGTCAAAAATCCATATCTCCACAACACATTTATCTGTACACAAGGCCCGCTACAGTATACCACACACGATTTTTGGAGGATGGTTTTTCAGGAGAGGGCGCAGAGTATTTTGATGCTTTGTCGGTGGGTAAAATCGCTGAGATAGCTAAGAAATGAATGGTAGAGATTATAGAGTAAGGAAAATGCTTCATTTTTCTAGTTGATGGATTTTTAATAGCTATTCTCGTTTTTGAGATATGCGCCATTAAAGATTGGACGCCTCGGCGCGCTCCCCTTAATGGGGGCCAAGGCGTCCAATATTCAAAGGCGCATATCTCATAAAACAAAACAGTTAGTAAAATTTGTTAATTGAAAAATGTAGGAAATTTCATTTTGCACATTTCTATAATTTGCAGTTTTTTGTTAGCTTTTATGGCTTTCGAGATATGTGCCCTTTGGTGGCCGCGTAGGTGCCAGCGCCAAGTCATCCAATCTTTAAAGGCGCATATCTCAAGAACCAAAACATCTATTGAAAAACAGTGAACTACAAAAATGAAGCTCCATTCTAGCCAAATACGAATATTTATTTTTGCCGAATGTTTCAGAGTAATTGAAGAAGGCCGCCCGAAATGTGTAATGTATTGGCCATCGAACGGAGAAGAGGAGACGTATGGATGCATTCGAGTCAAGAATATGGGCGAGAGCAGTGACGAATTCGAAGTTGTGAATTTGGCAGTGACGTTTGTACCTGATGATGTGGCAGCCAATGAGCAACCAACTGATAAGTCAGAGCTCAGAGTGAACCTGATTAAGTGGCCAAAGTGAGTCTCTTGAACTGTATAAGTAATTTTAGAGCAGTTTCCTATTTTCCAAGGTTGATGTGTTTTATACCATTTTGTAGCCCTTTTCAGGATCTATTATTTAAAATTTAGTTAATTTAAAAATCTCAAATTTGAAGGAAGCTATGAATATTCTCCTAAAACACAATTTTTCAGCTGGCCAGATCGTGGTGTACCCGACGAGAAGTGCCATACCGTTCCCCAACGTCTTTTGGCACAAGTCAGACAGGGACCGTGTGTTGTGCATTGCTCAGCTGGAATCGGAAGGACTGGATGTGTGGTTGCACTGGAATTCGCATATACTCGATTGAATAAAGGGGTGAAGGTGGACTTTGAGGAGGTTGGTTTCCAAAAAAAAAAGTGTCTTATGTTGTGTGGGCTATAACTTGCTTCGTTTTTATCATTTTTTAATTATGAATCTTAGACATTGTAGAATTTTTAAATCTGTACAAAATGATATATAACTTGCTTGTTTTTAGTTAAATCTAGCCCGGGACCCTGAAACCAAAGAGACACTTGATTACAAAAAATGAGTTCAAGCTTCAGCGCCTCCTATTGGACCTCTAGTAATCTTGAATTATTTGTTATTTGTATTTGTTTGTAGAACTTTTAAAGGGCAACAAAATGATATAAAATATGACTGAATAATTAGCAACCCTAGAAATCTAGAACAATGAAACGTCACTCCACTCCTCCCCTCGTTTGACATCCTTGTAGTTTATCGGCTTCTGTTTTGTAACATAGCTATATAAAATGAACAGATTTAATATCATTTTGTAGCTCTAAAAATTTCCTATTAAATTGTATAAAGTTCATGTATTTTTGTTCATTGTGTGGTTCACTGGGAGTCGTATAATAGGGATGAGGTTTTGGGGCTCTCGGTGATCAGTAGATACGCCCGGCTCGTCTCGGAAAGCGGATTATAAGATCTTGTGAAACGACATGTCAGGGAATTTTGAGCCATTTTTAGATAATCTTATAGCAAATTTCGTGAAGTTCTAGAAAGATAGAAAGCTTGCATTGCTTCGTTCGAAGAGCCCGGTTGAGCACTATATATTTTCTGAATTGAATGCTATGTCATTTTGTAGCTCTTGAAATTTCCTACATTTTACATTTTGATTTATACAAAGTAATAGTTTCGAAGAAAGTTATGAGCTTCACAAGACTTACAAGGCTTATCAAGAAGGCGCCCAAGCGTCAAGGCTTTTCTACTGCTCCTGGTGAAAAACATGACTAACAAAAATACGATAATTTTATATGATTTAATAGGAAATTCCAAGAGCTACAAAATGGTATTAAATTCGTCCATTTTTAATGCCTATGGGTCACAATAGAACCCGATAAACAATAAGGATGTCAGCAGAGGATGTTTCGTCGGTCTAGATGGCTAGGGTTTAGAATAATCTGGTTATATTTTTTATCATTTTGTAGTACTTAAAAAATTCTATAGATCCATATAAAATTTGAATAGTAGTTAAAATCGGTTGAATAGGAGCCACTGAAGACATAACTGGGAATCAAGGGTCTGTCTGGTTTGAAGGCCTCGGTGAAAAAGTAGATGTAACGAAAAAATTGTCGAGTTTTATATCATTTTGTAGCTCTCAAAATTTCCTAAATTTTTCATTAAAAAATTTGAATTTCAGATCGCAAACGAGCTCCGAAAACAACGTGCCCAGTGTATTCAAACCGAGATCCAATACCTCTACATCCATCGTGTAATGATTGCCTTTGCCAGAGGAGAGGCTGAAATTTCAGACAAGGCTTGTGCAGCTGCAGACGCATTCTTAAAGAACTACGACGATCATTTGAAGCGGAATTAAATGTTCTTGCCCATTTTGAAAAAAAAATTTAAAAATTAAAAAAAAAATTGTTTTCTCTTTCTTTCCCGAAAACCGGTTTCTTTATTACGCTTTTATCGAAAAATTGTTCCTCAGAGAGTCTTCTTTTTTTTTAAATTTTGTGTCTTGTGTGTTACCTTTTTTGTTGGTATTATTGTAATGTTCGCTAGTCAAAAATTAATAATAAAAATTAATTTCTTAAAAAATGCCATTTCATAATTTCGAGGCATGTGATATATAGTCATGCTGATAAGAAGAAACCCATTTTCTATTGTAGTTTTGACAGTTTTTGAACACTGCTGACTCAATTTTAATTTGATTGGAGAGAAGGTGGTGTCTGTAAATCATGCTTTTTTGAAGTTGAAAAATATCACGTTCCCCTCTCCCACCTCCGCCAAAAATCATCTTAAAATTAGCTTTTATGGGTTATAACTTGCTTCATTTTTATCATTTTTTAAGGATCTCAATTTTTAAATATAACGTTTTAAAAGAGGTACAAAATGATATACAACTATATACCTTTTAGTTACATCTAGCCGTTCACCGGGTTCCTCAAACCAGAGAGAGAGAGGCTTGATTCCCAAAAGTGACTTGTGGTTTCAGGGGTTCCTATTTCACCCGTTGTAATCTTAAACTATTAGTGATTCATATTATTTTTAGAACTGTTTAAGAGCTACAAAATGGTATAAAGCATGACTAGATAATTCCTAACCCTAGGAATCTGAGACAACAAAACGTTACTCCTCCTCTCCCCCTTTCTGACATCCCTCTTGTTTATCGGGGTCTATTGTGACCCATAGGCATTAAAAATGGTCAAATTTAATATCATTTTGTAGCTCTCAAAATTTCCTATTACATCATATAAAATTCTAATATTTTTGTACATCGTGTTGTTTAGGCCAGGAGCCTTATAATGGTAATGAGGCTCTGTGCTCCCTTTTATAAGCCTAGCCTTATCTGTGGGTTATAACTTGCATCATTTTCAATATGTTTTACTTATCTAAATTTTGAAATATAGAATTTTAAAAGAGGTACAAAATGATATAAAACTCCATAAACTTTAGTTACATCTAGTTCTTCATAGGGGTCGTAAAAACAGGCAGGCACTTAATCCTAAAAAGTGACTTCTGGCTTCACTAGCTTCTATTAGACCCCTTGTAGTTTCAACATAACTGAGCTTTATATCATTTTGTAGAATATTTCAAGGGCTACAATATGATATAAAACATGCCTAGATTGTCACCAACGCTAGGAATCAGGAACGAAACACGAAACATGACTCCCCCCCCCCCTCTCTCCTCCCCCTTTTGACATACTTGTTGTTTATCCGGTTCCATTGTGATCCATAGACATTAAAAATGGAAGAATTTTATTTCATTTTGTAGCTCTGAAAATTTCCTATGACATGATACAAAATTCTCATATTTTTGTTTGTCGTGTTGCTTTACCAGGAGCCTTATAATAGTAATGAGGGCATAAGCTCCCCTTGTATGTATTGGGCAGCTCATAACTTTCTTCAAAATTGACATTTTTGATCTAATAAAAATGTCAAGTGTAGGAAATTTTAAGAGCTATAACATGATACAAAATTCACCTATTTTAAATAAAGTATAGTGTTTCAAACGGTCCGCTGAACTAGCCATTCCTAAAAAGGGATACAATATGAGCTCAAATTCAAATTTTTTAGCCGTTTGGTTTCTGTTCCCTTGAAAGAAACGTTCTCCATTCCCTCCTCATTTCTCTAGAGGCTCATTCACTTTGGCATAAAAAAGAGCACGAGAAGAAGCCTTTTAGTTTTATTATCTTCCCATTTTGTCGCGCCGGGTCCCTCGAGGGGCTGCGCTGCGCCTTTAAATTTTTCGTTTTCATTTTTCACCCAGGAGAGAATATAAGAAAAAAGAACTAGTTTTTTTTTCTCGAAAAAGTCGGTCATCATGATTCGATTTGAATAAATTTAGCTATCGCTTTTTTCTGCGTCTCTATCTCGGCAGAAAATAGAGAGAGAGAGAGAGAGAGAGAGAGAGAGAGAGAGAGAGAGGGTCGATATTTCGTCCCTCGTCCCGTCTTTACCCGTAACGAGAGAGTGAAGCTTAGTGTGTTAAGGGGTGAGAGACACAGACACGCCGAGGGAAAACTAGAGTAATGCAGCACGCGCGCCCTTCTTCCTCGTCGTTTTCGCCCCCTTTTCCGACGCTTTTCACATTTTTCGGTCAATGTTTTGCTGTGTGTGTATGCTGGTGGCTGGTGGCTGGTGCACCAAAAGCCCTCACTTTATCGATTTTGATACGTTTTCTCTTTTCTCTCCCTAAAAAAAGCCCATGACTCATTTTTCGCTCTCAAAACATTACATTATTTTGTTTTCCCTTCAATTTATGGCTATTTTTGACTTTTTATCACTAGAGCGTGGTTGTATTCCGCTTTTTTTCAAAATTTCCTTTTTTCTGAGAATACCGTACCTTTCTTTAAAGGCGCATGCCTAATTTTTGCTTGTCGTCTCACCACGACAGGTCTCGTGTACTCCTCTCGGGCAATTGTTTATTTATTTATTTATTATTTTTTAGCTTTATCCGCCTATTCTAGCTCATTTTTTCTCAAATGTTCGCTATTTTCCAGCAATGTCAACCAAGAAAAAGACAAAAGTGATGTCGAAAAAGGGAAAAGGCAAGATTCTAGTCCCAAAATGGAAGCTTTTCCGAGCAAAAGAGCCATTGCTCTCTGTCTTCATGTGGGGTATCAATCATACCGTTGATCAATTGCTACACGTTCCGCCGCCCGGGCTTTTGATGCCTGATGACTTTAAGGTCGGGGAAAATTTCCAAAAATTGATTTTTTTTGGAATATTTTGATCTTCAGGCCTACTCAAAAGTGAAAATCGACAACCACAACTTCAACAAGGACATCATGCCGAGTCACTACAAAGTCAAAGAGTACTGTCCGAACGTTTTTCGGAACCTTCGAGAGCAATTTGGCGTGGACAATTTCGAATATTTGCGTAGTTTGACGAGCTACGAGCCCGAACCCGATCTTCTCGATGGATCTGCCAAGGATTCGACGCCACGATTCTTTATATCGTATGATAAGAGATTTGTGATTAAGGTGGGATTTGAGATTTTGAAAAAAATTTCTGAAAATTCCAATTTTCAGTCCATGGACTCTGAAGCCGTCGCTGAACTACACTCGGTTCTCCGCAACTATCATCAATATGTCGTTGAGAAGCAGGGAAAGACGCTTCTCCCACAGTATTTGGGCTTGTATCGGTAAGAGACTTTGAAATTTTCAGGTTTTTAGGCTTTTAGAGCGATTATGGATTTTGATGACGTTAGAAGCTTTTCTTAATAAATTTGCGTCGTTTTGACACCCATATTGACCTATCATCGATAAATCGATTTTTCCCAATTCAGAAGACGTCAGAATCAAAAATTTTCAAATTTCAAAATTTTGACGTCGTTAACCTTGTTTTGTATAAAATTTCTGTTCATTTGATACCCATATTGCCATAATTCCACCTAGTTTACCTCCAGAATGCAGACATCTGAATTTCAGAAGACGTCAGAATCCAAAAATTTCAAATTTTCAGGCTAACCATCGATGGCTCTGAAACCTATCTCATCGTGATGCGCAACGTCTTCGGCCGCAAATACGGTGTTCACACGAAATTCGATCTCAAAGGATCTACAGTATCCCGTGCCGCTTCTGACAAGGAGAAGGCGAAAGACCTGCCAACACTGAAGGATAACGACTTCTTGGAGCAGAACTGGAAGCTGAATCTGCCTCCAGAAGCCAGCAAACAGCTTCTGGAGATGTTGTCAAGTGATACGGAGTGGTTGACGAGAATGCATTTGATGGATTATTCTCTTCTTGTTGGTACGTCTAAAATTCAGGGATGAGCAATCGAAAAAAAAAATCTGAAAATCCCAAAAAAAAATCCGCTGAAATCCGTCTACTTTGAGCCGTTTAGCTAGAAGACGTCAGAAATTCTGAATTCAAAAAATTCAAATTCCACCGAAACCCATCAATATGGGTATCAAAATGACGCAAATTTTTTGAAAAACACGCCTAACGTCATGAGAATTGTCTAAAACTATCCAGAATTCTTCTAGAAGGGATTCAGAATACAGAAGACGTCAAAATTTGAAATCTTCCAAAACCCAAGCAATATGGGTATCAAACAAACAACAATTTTAAGAGAAACAACTTTAACGTCGTGAAAATTGTTAAAAATCGAAAATTCTGGACTCTGACGTCTTCTGAATTCTGAAAAATCGACTTTTCGAAAATGGGTCTTTATAGGTATCAAAATGATGGAAATGTGATAAACATTACTTTCAACGTCGTCAAGATTATCGAAAATTTTAAATTTTTTGGATTTTGACGTCTTCTGAATTCTGAAAAATCGATTTTCCGAAATGGGTCTTCATGGGTACCAAAATGACGTGGAAATTGTGAAAATCACGTTCGACGTCACGAAAATCTTCCAGAACTAACTAAAACCCCCTTGCTAGAAATTCAGAATCCAGAAGACGTCAAAATTAAGAATTCTCTCAAAACCTATCAATATAGGTATAAAAATGACGGGAATCACATAAGAAACACTTTTCACGTCGTCAAATTTCTTGAAAAATCCCTCCAGAAGAGATTCAGAATTCAGAAGACGTCAAAATTCGTACTTCTTCAAAATAGGCCAATATGCGTATCAAAATGACGAAAATCACACGGGAAACGCAATTAAAGTCTTCAAAATTTTCCAGGAATCCACGATTGCGAACGTGCCGCCCAGGAAGCCGCCAACCGTCCCATCGAACAGAATTCCGAAGAATCTGGGGACGAGCTGGCTCCAACGCCACCAGACTCCCCGATTCCATCAACTGGCGGCGCGTTTCCCGGGGTCTCCGGTGGACCAGATTTGGATGATGAGTTCTATGCAATTGCTAGTCCACCAGGTAAAAATTCTGAAAATTTCGGGAGATTTTAAGCTGGAAATAATCGATTTTCAGCCAAAAATTGGGAAAAATTTTTTTTCGAAATTTTTCAAAAAGTTTGTTTTCAGATTCTGACAAAAACCTAATCTATTTCATCGGACTGGTCGACATTCTGACGTACTACGGTATCAAAAAACGCAGTGCGACTGCTGCGAAAACTGTGAAATACGGTTCGGATGCTGAGAACATCTCCACCGTCAAACCGGAGCAGGTAAGGGACAAATGGGACACACAAAGGGAAAAATTGGCCGGAAATTTGAAAATTTCGGGTCGTATTGGCCTATAATTGTTGTTTTAATGCTTATAAAGTTGAAAAAATAATTCTTAAACAAATTTTTTTTTTCAAATATTATAATTTTTAAAAAAAATGTTTCTGAAATTAAAAAAAATTTCCAAAATTAGAAAAAAATTTTTTTTGGAATTTTTTTTCAAAGTTTTTCCAAAATTTTCCCAATTTTCAGTACGCCAAACGTCTCGTCGAATTCATCAGCCGCTCATTGAACTAATTTATTTTCCCCCATTTTCCCTGTAATTTTGACCCGAATCGCTTTTAATTTTTCAAAAAATTTCAAAAATTCAAAAAAATCCCCCCACCCCACCCACTCGATCTCTTCATTTTATTAATTTATTTTTCCCTCTCTATCCATTGTGCTTCTTACTGTAATTTTCCTATATACCGTAAAACCTCTAATAGAACGACACCCGGATCGTCCACTTTGAGCCTATATATCTCACTTCTTTTGAAAGATATCAAAAAGTGGTTAACTAGTAAAATGTTTATCAGGATATCAGCAACATTTTACT